GATTATACGTTACTTCCTATCTGGCTTTTCACTGAGTATTGGACCAGAAGGAGAGGTTTAGGGCAGAGACTTTCCGGTTAAAGGGGCAGGGCTAGGCCCACCTCAGATGCACATGGATTCTGCCTTTTCAGTGTGTGTTGGGCAGGAAAGAGAGCACCACTACAGGATTTTAAGCATTTTAGCTCTGGCCTGCTCATTCCTTCCTTCTCAGGTTCACCCCTGAGATGCTCATTTCTGACCATCTAGAACTTCCTGACAGTTACGAATCCCTAGAAACATTGTCCAGATACTGCCATCTAAAACATCCTCTTCCATTCCTTGGCACCTACATAAATATCTACGTGTCCTTTAAGAGGCTGAGTGGGAACATGGTGAAAGACATTTTCCCTTATTCTCCTCCCTCCAGCTTAGTAACTTCCTTCTCGACATTGGTTTTAGGCTGCCTTTATTCCATGCATCAGAAGACAGTGGACGTATTTAATATCTCTGTTTATCTTTTCTACTAGACTGAACTTCTCTTTTTCTCTTTTTTTTTGGAGACATTTTTTGCTATAGGGCATGTATACTTGCCAAAGAGACAGAGAGACAGAAAGCGAGAAATCATTCCCCAGGAGAGAGGGCCACGCCACAATCTCTTCTCCATTCTCATCTCAGGGTCTTGGGCACTCACGCACACATACCTGGCATGGGTTTTAAGCCATGGGGTCTGGGACTCGAACCATGGTCGACTATATGGAGGTCCAGTGACATAACCATTACACCGTCTGCTGGTCCCTAGACTGCACCTTTTTTTTTTTTTGGAGAGGTTTTCGCTATAGGGCTCGTGCGCTTGCCAGACAGACAGAGACAGAGAGACAGAAAGCGAGAAATCACCCCCCAGGGGGGATGGTCACACCGCAATCCCTTCTCCTTCATTCTCCTCTAGGGATCTTGGGCACGCATGCACACGCGCCCGGCGTGAGTTTTAAGCCACTGGGTCTGGGATGCGAACCACAGTCGACTACGTGGGAGTCCAGCGACATAGCCATTACGCTAACTGCTGGTTCCCTAGACTGAACTTCTTAATGACTTTAATTATCTCTTATGTCTCCAAAACCTAGCAGACTGCCTGGAACATAGCAGATAAACTGAACTGACTTAGCCTGTGCCCAGATCACTGCTGTTATTTTTAGAAGGACAACTCCCATTAATTTTTATATATCAAAACACTCAAAATTCACGGTGGTCTCATTATTAGGCGTAGGATAGCATTTTGGAGTTTCTGCTTTACGGGATGTTGGCTACCCACTGTTTGTTTCAGGAAATTCTATCGCCAGAACATTTCTCTGCTTCTGTCTGTCTTCTTTCTCTTACTCACAGACAGAGTAAGGAGTGGGAGAATTAGAACCTACTATGAGCCTACTATAGCCCAATCTACGCAACAAGGACGAGAAGAAAAAGAAAAATCTGTACTTCCTCATGAAACTCTTTTCATTGCTCATTTCAGTTTAAAATGTCCTCTTAACATTAAGGAGGGGAAAGTTCAGAGGCACAGTATAGAATATTCATCTCCTTGCTGCATTCTGGGAAGATTGACTCCCCCAGGGCGCTTACCTATCCCAAGCTCAGACCATCTAGGTTTTGATTGGACTGTTGCCAGAGCTCATTAGCATAGTGTACCCTGACCTGGAATAGGGAACAGTGTCTGCTCACAAAATGACCAGAGTCTGCTGAGACCTGAGCCAGAGATGAGAAGTTTATGACACAGTATTGTCTGCATCTGCATAAGACAAGTCAGAAGGTAAGGAAGCCAGAAATCCTGAGGGGCAAATGGAAGGGATGTGGTAATGGCCACTTCACTCCCTCAGGCTTCCATTTGTGGTAGAATCTATAGAAATGTTGAGAATTGAATACCCTTGGGTCATGATGCTTTTAAAAAGTAAGTCTTGATAAATTTAGTCAATCCTGGATGAAAACTTTGTTTACTTGTTTAAGGGTTGTAAGAAAGTTTTTGCTTCTTTTCTATCTTTTGTTCTTAACTTTCAGGGAAATAGTCAATGAATGCTCATTGGGCTGGCAAAAGTTTATATCCCAAAAAAGGTCTAAAAGGCGATGCCTTTTTTCCTCCACAGTAAGATTTTTATTCCCTTCTTTTTCATTTAAAAACAAACAAGAGAACGATGTCGACGCTACCCAGACGTAATGTTTTTGAATTTAGGAATATAAATTTTTTTCCAAAGGTCTTAAATAATAAACTTATTCCAGTTTGTTATAACAAAATGTGGGTCATCAGAGATGCTGTTGTTACAGGTCAAAGAGGTAAGTGTGTAGGAATGCTGTTTGATTTTTGTGTCTTCTTTTTTATTTTTCTTTGAATTAAAGACAATCTGTGGTATCATTTCTTCATCACTTTAACATTTATTTCCCAAATGCAGAGTTTTACTTAAAACTCATGGGGATTTAGTCTTGAACATGTGCTTGAATTGAAAACCGGAGACTTCATACCCTGTGTGTCTGCTACCGCCAGGCTGTAGCTGGGTGCAGATGGTGATGGGGAGAGCAGGGACTCCGTTTCGTTATTTAAGGGTCAAGAACTTCGTCAGTATGTTCAGGTCAACAGTCTTACATATACAATACCCTCGTTGCCTCAGTAGAGCTCAGTGATTTACAGATATTGGCATTATATGAGGAGTCTTCCAAAAATTCATGGAAAGTGGGTATTACAAAAAAAAACTATGCTTTGATTTCCATTTTTTGCCCCCCAACTCATACTTTAAATCGCATCTTTCTCTTTTTTTTAGAATAATTATTTAATCTGATTTGTTTTGATTTGACAAGAAAGGGAGAAAGCAAGCTGCTAGATCTGGAACATGAACCATGACCAGTCACGTGGGAGTCCAGTGCCTTAATCATCATGCCACTACCAGTCTCTTAATTTCATCTTCCATGAACTTTTTGAAGTACTCTGGTATAAAGGCAAATCCCTAAAGAACAGAGTTCTTGACACTTCCTAAGTTTTGAATCTAACTTGTAGTTGGAATTTACTGTTAAGTAGCTCTACAGAACATCACCATGCTCCCTCCCTATCTTTATTAAGATAAGAGCACCCACAAATAGAAATGTTATACCTGTTAACATGTGTCACTTCACAGTCTACTAACTAGAACATCTCATCTGCAAAATGATTCTTTTGTGCAGGGGATAGGTATGTGTGGAATATCGTTTTCTTCTTTCTTTGCTAAATCTCCTTTAACCATCTATTGTTTGAAAATAGAGCCATATTTCTCATAAGGGAAGAGATGCAGTTTGAACAAATATTTTAAAATATCATTTCCGTAATGTAGTCTATCAAAGAAGGGAGGGCAGAACCTCCAAGGGGCAGGGGAGAGTGATATTGCTTAAGATAATGTCAGAAAGTCTTGAGTACTTTGCGTTAAACGAAGGTTGAGAAATACTGTTTTAAGGCAACAGTTCTCAAACATTTTATGACTCTTCACCTCTGGGACATTTATCTGGAAATATTTTTGGTCGTCACAGCTAGGGACTGGCTGCTACTAACAAGTAATGAGTAGAGACCGGGGATACTGCTGGTCTACAATCTGATGCAAGATAGCCCTCACTCGGAACAGTTATCTGCCCAAAATGTCAATAGTGCCGAGGGATCTGTTTCAGAGGGCTCTGTTAATAATATTAAGATACTGGGCCCAGCAGGTGGTATGTGGTTAAGGGCACTGGACTCCCACATGGCCAACTGTGGTTCAAGTCCTGGACCTTTGCTTTCTCACTTCCCCCTCCGCCCCTCTCTCACTCTGTTCCTCTCTGGTCAAATTAAAATAAATACATAAATAAAGTTAAATAAAATAATTATTTAAAAATAACATTAGGATACTAGTTAATGATATTTGAAGATATGCAGTACACACAAAAGTTATTGAAGAGACCAAAATTAATCCTTATACAATTTGAATGAGAAAAAGAATACTTCTAGGTATAGTCAATGTTATGTTTTCCTTGTAATTTTTTTTCCTTTTTAGGTTTTTGTTATAGGGCGTGTCTGCTCGCTGGAGAGAGACAGATATAGTGAGAGGGAAAGTGAGAAATCACATACCACCCCCACCACCAGAGAAGATAGCTATGCTGCAATTCCTTCTCTTCATTCTCTTCCTGCAATTTTAGGAGGCATGCATGCACATGCACCCTGCATGATTTTCAAGCCACCAGGTCCAAGACTTGAACTATGGTTGACTGTGTGGGAGTTCAGCTCTTTAACCACCACATCAACTCCTGACCCTTTCCTTATCATTTCAATCATATGTTAGCTAAATTATGAAGTTATTCAGTGGAAACAACTCTAAGCCAGGCTCTCCCTCCTGATCTGCCACAGGTTTACAGAGAAAAGTTCCTAACCCCTACAGGGCCGACCGTGGTTCAAGTCCTGGACCTGGTGGCTTGAAAAATCACACTGGGCATGTGTGCATGCCCAAAATCCTAGGAGGAAAATGGAGGAGAATGATTGTGGCATGGCCACCTCCCCCGGGAGGCAATTTTTCACTTTCCCTGTCTCTTGTGTTTCTTCTGTCTTTCGCTCCGGTGCACACATGCCTTTATGGCAAAACCCTTTAAAAAAAAAAAAAAAAAAGTCCTAACCATTAGATGTAGATGACATGGGTTCCTACTGTACAACCTGGATCTGGCAGTGAGAAAGGAAGTCTAAACCCAGGGGTGAGAGCAAGGAGCACCATTTTTCTGATTCCCAATGGTCAATCTTGATTTCAGCAAGATTACTACGAATTCCTATGATTTGTTTTCTACCAATATGTACTTGCAAAAATGTCAACAAAACAGGTTTTTCTGGTAGACAAACATTGGTTTTTGACCCTTGAATGGCTAGCATTACTATTATTTATTTTTTAGCCTCAGAAAATAGTTTCCCAGTCTGAGCTGCTTCAGCAGACTGATCCGGCTATATCAAGAATCTCTGAGAGCAAAATTCTCAAGCACCTGAGGAGAGCGGAATAGATGAAAATCTGTGGATGACCTGATCTTATCATGGAATCTGACAACTTGGCTGCTGAAGACAAAGAGAGGTTAAACTGGGATATTAATGATATAAAACTGCCACAGGTACGTACTTGCTGTTAAGAATCTGCCTTCAGCATTTGGCAATGAAACGTTGACTAATAATCTGCCAAGATCTGGGAGGAAATTCATGAGGATTCCAACTGGGAATCTCTGGGAACTGCCGTTCCCCGAGAGCTTCAGCTGGACATTTGACTAAGGAGTATTTTTTAAGATTTTAACCATTGGGTGTGTGTGCCCACCAGAAAGAGACAGAGAACAGGAAAATGAGAAATGACTCCTGCCTCCTCTCTCCACCCCCCCAGGAGGGATGGTCATGCCACAATCTCTTCTCCTCTATTCTCCTCTTGGGATTTTGGACACACATGCACATGCACCCTGTGTGATTTTCAAGCCACCAGGTGTGGGACTTAAGTGTGGTCAGTCATGTGGGAATCTAGCACCTTAACCACCACACCACATGGTAGCCCCATGACTGAGGAGTTTTTAAAGGAGATCTCAAGACCTGTGATTTGAGCAGGTCTTTACCTGCCACACTCTCCCAGTTAGACTGAAGTAAAGAAAAAACTACTTCCGTTTTGGTTCAGATTTCATTTGGCTCAGATTGCATTCACTTTGGCTAGCTGGCGTAATAAAATCCATGATAATTTATTTGCCCATAGATTGACCCTTCATTATATACAAGTCCCCTATAATCTTACTTGCTATAGTAATAGCCTTAAACGCAATCTCCACATTACTTTAATGTCCTAGAGTATCCAGGTAATAGTACTCGTATGAGATATGCCATGCTCTTGTAGAACCTTGTCAACACCATATATACACACTAGGTTGCTTTCCAAATACACAGTGACATTCATTTCATGTTTCCTTTGCCTTCCTCTTTTGACAACTGAGTTTTAACTCTTGATTTGATGAAAGTATTAGTTGTTTACAACTGATTTTTCATGTGTATCATTTCTGATTTCTTGTCCTCCCTCTCTGGCATTTAAGATGTTTTCACTGGAAGATGTTCGACAAGATGACAAGAAAGGCTAAGTCTAATTTGAAGAAAGTCTAAGGCAATACCAAATAGTAAAAGGTCCATCCAGCCTGCCTCATTTTGGGGAACAAGGAATTGGAATTTTCCCTAGTAGGAGTGAGGAAATGGAGATTAGTCTTTTTTTTTTTTTTTTTTGTATGTGTTTTTTTTCTTCCATGAGAGAGACAGACAACCAGAGGGAGAAAGAGAGAAAGTCAGGCCCTTTCAACAGAGTCTTCTGTTGTCATCCACCCCATTTTGGCCAGCTCTGAATCATGGACTTACATGTGCACATCCAGCATGCTCAGGGAGCCCTCAGGACTTCAACCAAGGACCTTTCCCTATAGATCCAGTTGCTTTATCACTGAGCTACCTCCTGGCCATGAGTCCATAGTCTTGATTTATAACCATTCCAGATTTTCACTCTAATACTTTGTTTTGTTTCTCCGTAAATCCCCCCCCCCATTCTCTCTTGGTAGGTCTTGGAAAAGCTGGAGAATAACACATGTGCTCCACTTTCATTTTAGGGTAAAATTTCTACCTTCATTTAAAGTTGGTTCAATAAATGACAGCCAAGTCATACAAATGCCCATTCTGGGGATTTGTGTTTATAGTTGCTCTTTAAAATTTTTTTTATTTATAATTTTTTATTATTGTTTTTAATTTTTGCTACAGGGCATGTGCACTCACCAGAGAGAGAAAGAGAGAGAGAATGGGAAAATGAAAAAGCAAACCACCAGGTCTGAGACTCAAATCACAGTCAACCATGTGGGAGTCCAACGCCTTAACCACCACACCACCTGCAGGCCCTTATAGTTGCTCTTAACTAGTATTACAATTATTGTAGCCATTTTGGAGAAACTCACAAAAGTACATTTTATTTTATTTTTTTAGTTTGTAAGAAGGCATTTTTGTTTACCAGAAAGAGAGGAAGCACCTGTAATCCCTTTCCTCCATTTCTCCCTCCTGTCAGAATTTTGGGCACACATGTATATGTGCCTGTTGTGTTTTCAAGCTTCTGGGGCTAAGATTTGAACCACAGTTGACATGGGGGATCTGACTTCCCTTAACCATCACCTACAGGGTCAGTCTACAGTAAATTTCTATTACTTTTGGCTCAGCAACTTACATTTCTGTTTATTTCCTAATTTTATTATTGCAGTCCCCAAATAGAAACTAGGCATTCACAAAATCAGGCATTGAGGTGTCTAGGTGCATAGAAGGCTTTGCAATGTTACTTTCTAGAGCAGGAGTTTTAATGGATGCTGAGACCCTCCTGAAATGGTGGACCACACTGTATTAACATGCACTTTTTCTGGGACAGAAGATCTATAATATTCACCAAATCTATACACCAAAGAGATGAAGAACTACTTCCCTGCAGAGAAACTCATGGCTCATAAAAATTCACATTTTCACATGAATTTCCCAAAATGAAAATGTTCTCACCTACCCAGGAAATGAAACTGAGGCATTTACAGCAAAAATACACACTCGGTTTTGGAAGCATATCATTTACAGTTCATAGAAAAAGCCCTAAGGTTTCTCAGGGAAATAGTAAGTGCCTTTTAACGGGTTAAATACAGCAGGGAAATGATTAAACATGCAAATATATCTAAAGATATTCTTATTAGAGACAATATCATCTTCATCTGCATTCCTAGAGGTTCTGGAATTATGTCCAGAACCAGCTGAGATGAAAACGAAAGGTCTTGGATAAATCCTACAGCATAGTAGCTGAGTGTCAGAGGGGGCAGATCTCACGTGGCCAACTGTAGCTCTCCTAAGAAGAAGCTCTGTTAGCCACTGTTGCCCCAACTTGGCATTTTTTTAAAATAATTATTTTTAATTTTATTTATTCATTCATTTTTATTTTTTAATTTGACCAGAGAGAGACAGAGAGAGAGAGAAAGGGAGAAAGCAAGTTGCCAGATCTGGGACTCAAAACTGGGACTCAAACCATGGTGAGCCATGTGGGAGTGTCCAGCACCTTAACCACAAAGCCACCTGCTGGCCCCTGGCCCCAACTTATTTTTGACCATAGAACTCTTTTTTTCCATGGAATTTTTCAGGGAATTCATGTTCCTCAGATCACCTGTGCCACCCCCCGCCCCCCCACAAGTGGTTTGAAGGACCAAATGCAGTGGCATGTCGTTATTATAAATTTCCCCAATTTCATTCCCAGTTCCACCCTGCAACCTTTGGCGTTTATTCAAGCTTCTTGAAACTTGAAGCATGTGAGAGGAAGAATAAAAAAAAGGGATTTGCCTGCATGTTGCAGAGGTAATAATCCTGGCAAGAGAGTCAACCCTCTGGCCTGGTGGTCAGGGCAGCCAGATTCCACATGGCCAACTGCATGGGAATCTTGGCCCTGGCAGCTTGAAAAACATGCCAGGCCCATGTGTGCATGCCCCAGATCATGACAGGATGGAGAAATGGAGGGGAAAGGGTGGTTAGCGTAACCATGCCTCGTTGAGGACGTGGTTCTCATTCCCTGTCTGTCTCTCTCTCTGGCAAGCACATGTATAATAATAATAATAATAATAATTTGGGGGTTATTTTTTAGGAGTTTTTGCCTTAGGGCATGAGTACCTACTGGAGAGAGAAAGAGAGACACACAGTGAGAGAAAAATTGAGAAATCACTTTGTGGCTACGCTGCGATCCCTTCTTCATTCTCCCAGGATCTTGGACATGCATGCACACATACCTGGCATGATTTTGAAGCCACTGGGTCCAGGGCTCAAACTGTAGTTGGCCATGTGGGAGTCTAGCAACATAACTGCTATGCCATCTGCTAGTCCTACAATCATAGTTTTTAAAAATGGTTTTGGAAAGATTTCCAGATATATAAGATTTTATATTTTGTGAGCAGAGCTGGAGGCACAGGGGCAGACTATGAAAAGCACAGGACTTGGAGATCAAAGCCCTGGATTTTAATTCCAGTTCTACCTTTCTAGTTGTAGAGCCTCAGAGAGCTGTTTACCTTTTCTGAAACCCCTTTCTCTTGTGAAAATAAGAGAGTTGCACCAAACGATCTTTTTCATTCTAATAGTCTAAGATTCTAGAAATGTGCCTAACACAATGCCTGCCGTATATGAAATAACAAATGACAAAAGTGGAATTTATTAATGAATGGCTCTATTGCTTATAATCTTTGGGACTGGACAAATTGATTTTTCTTAAGTTTTAGTTACTTCCTCTGTAAAATAGAAGTGGTTCTCTTTTATATACCCTGCTTCAATCTTCCATTGTTTAGAGTAGTGTTTCCCAAAATGTGCTCTGTAGAGTACAAGTTACAAGGAAATGTAATAGATATTGTGTGTGAGGGGGACAAAACCAATACTTGGCTGAACAAAGTTAGCCAGATTTCTTGGGAACAGCAGTTGGCATAATGGCTATGTTGCTGGACTCCCATGTAGTTGACTGCGGTTTGCATCGCGGACCCGGTGGCTTAAACTCACGCCGGGCGTGTGCGTGAGTGCCCAAGATCCTGAGAGGAGAATGGAGGAGAAGGGATTGCGGCTTGACCATCCCCCCTGGGGGGTGATTTCTCTGTCTGTCTGGCGAGCGCACGCATCCTATAGCAAAAACCTCTCCAAAAAAAAAAAAAAAAAAATTTAGCCAGATTTCTTTTCCCGAGACTTGACCCTTTTCGTCTTCCTGTGAATTAGCAGCTCTCCTAAGTGAGAGTTCTGTGGTGTTGCCTTACCTTATTTTGGACCACGGAACACTTTTCTTTCTTGGAGCTCTCAGGTGATTAATGTTTCTCAGATCATCTGTTTGGCCAAAAAATTATGTAGCTTAAAGGACCAAATACAATTACTTGTTGCTGTTAAAATTTCCCCAATTTCATTCTCTAGTCTATCGTTATTTTTCTTTCTTAAAATAATTATTTCTTAAAATGTATTATTATTATTATTTTTTAATTTTTTGCAATTGGGCACACGCTCTCACCAGAGAGAGACAGACAAAGAGAGAAAATGAGAAAGCAAGCTGCCAGGTCCCGGACTTGAACTATGGTTG